AGCCTGGGTGAAGCCTGGCTCAAGCAGGGCGAAGCTTGGGTGAAGCTGGGTGAAGCCTGGCTCAAGCAGGGCGAAGCTTGGGTGAAGCTTGGCTGAAGCAGGGTGAAGCTTGGGTGCAGCCTGGCTGAAGGATGAACATGGTCCCTTCGGAAGTCCCTTAGACTCGGTGCATCGCGCAGCGATTCTCCACGCGTCACAACGGTGCAAGTTCGCGGCGCTTGCCCCCGGCGACCCCGGCAAGTCGCAGGGGTCGACCCGTCGCCACTTGAACCAGAAGAAGAAGAAGAAGGAGGTGCCAGCAATTTAGTAGGTCTTTTCATGTTTTTCTCCGAGAGCTGGTGACCAACGCTGGCCAAATGGAACACGTAAGTCGGCTTAAGTCGGCTTCAGTTGCTGAAGTCAAACGCTGATACAGTATATTGTCTGCGTCCTCCGTTATCGCCCCAGTATAGCCCTGGTTTGGTAGGTCGGGTCGTGTCGCTTCCAAACGCTCAACTGTTTCCACTCCCAACTCCACCAAACTCCACATTCCATGTCCAGTTTGCTCCGTCATGGCCGGCAGCCCCCCATCGTCTTCACGGACGGGCTTGGCCACATTCCGCTGACCCAAGCGTTCCTGCGCCAACCTCGGCCGGCCGTTGAGGCGAAATCGAGGCGAAATCGGGGCGCCCAAAGGGTGTGGAGCATGAAGGGGGGTGGATGAGGGTCCATTGAAACCTGCGGTGCAGAATCGGGCAGCCGCCCATGGGGAGGCAGCCGCCCAACCAGTTTGGCCAAAGCGACAAGAACCGTAGCAGGAGGGATCTGGTTCAAGCCTGCCTTCCTACAAATCCGAAAATCAACATGTAAGCACATGAGTCATAGGAGTGCCAGTGTCCTGCAAAGCCTCTCCGGACTCTAGCCAGGTGCTCAAGGCAGGCAAACTTTCATCAACGTGACAAGTTTATGCCATTGTCTCTGCAGGCAAGAAAGGCATAAACACATAACCTTTGGGTCATGGTGAATATTTTAAAATATTTCAAAGGCTCCCCCATACTCAATTAGACAATACATGCCATTTTGCAAAAATGGCAGTGAAAGTGCCAACTATACAAGTTAAATCAATTGCACTTAAAAAGATCACGTCCGTTCATTTCAACAACTCAGTCCGTCTGTGTCTGAGATGCTTTAGTAGCAACTGTTGCCGATGATTCGACACACGCATGAATTCCGTGTATGAAGCCCATGGGGAACTCCTCGTGTGCCTCTCCCACCAATCGAATAACATACAATGGGTTTAATTTAAATAAGGGACCACCCGCACCCATGGGTTGTTAGTCTGTTTTCCTTACACACACCCAAAAACCACTCCCTCTAATACACCACCACATGGGACATGAATGGACGTGACCTGAAATCCGCAGTCTAGCTCACCATCAAAGCACCTGCTACATTCAAACGAATCGACGAAGGACTCGGGGGCGGACGAGTTCACCAGCTTCATTGGAAGCTTGGGGTCTCAAGACACTTCTCAAGACCTATATACCCCAATGGCTTCCACAATCCCTTACAACATGCACGGTTGAATCGTATATCATCCATGGCATTCCATGGCAATATCCATTGGGGAACTTTACCATAATTTTGTAGATGTAACATTGTAAAAATTGTGAATAATGCCACAGGATGCCACGGTGATAATGTACCTAAATTGAAGAAGTCCTGCACTCAAACCCGCTGCCCTAAGAACCCAAGCACAGGAGGTTGCCCTTTCTTGGAGCAACTTGTGAGTAGTGCAACAAAACACCTGATCTCGACCCGGTGACTTCAACCCCTCTTTGTATTCCTGAAGGTCGTCTGCTACTTTCCATAGTTTGTTGGAGAGATGGTCAACCTTCAACTCTTTCCCTGATAGGTACACTCTAGAAGACTAACATGGACCCTGAAAATCACTGCTTGGTAGAGGAAAACCATCTTCCAAGCATTGAACCCGGGTCCATGTGAGTTGACTTGGGAGTGGTTCACGCATCCATCTGAGCCCACAGCTCCTACCTCATCGTCCCCTTGTCCTCCCTCCGGCCGAAGGCACGGCATAGAGACTTGCCCCGTCTTGGGCGTGCGGCCACAGACCAAGGCCCAAAAGTCCCGTTGCCAAAACGCGCGTTGCGCGATCATGTCCTCCACGGACAGCAGCGCGACAGCTGGCCGTGAATCCGGCAATTCCCTAGCTTATAGGCCCAGGGTAGGGGCTCCTGGCCTACCTCGGTTTCGAAGGTGGTTGGGGTGGGTGCCAGGGACCTTCCGAGGATATGGTTGGAGCCCCTAGGCCCCTAGGGATAGAGTAGGGATATGACAGGGTCAAAGTGATCAGAGTAGCCAAACCATGCAAATCATGCAGCACAGAAATTTTGACACATGCTCACTCTGTAAAACGTGTTTTCCTTCAACTTTGGGTGCGAGGAGCGCAAACGCAAACTGCAAAAACAACCAAAACCCTCACTCCTTCGCATATGCCTTGGCCGCAGGATGCCTGGCTAGCAGCAGGACACCCGACATCTCAGTGCTCAGCCTGTGAACAAAGGACGGTGGCTCCTGATGGCAGTCGTGGCAGTCGATGAAACGAAAGCCATGAACCCGGTCGAAGAAACTGATTCTGCAATATACACCCAGTATTATAGATTAACGTTGATTATTTGGGATACAGCCATTCCTGGGACATGGGGATTTTTGCAGGCACACGTTTGGGGATAGAGGTCGAAGAACCGACAGGGACACTCTGGCTGTTTCATACATATCCCAGACACGACCCATGAGACTGCCATAGGACTGCCGATCAGGCCAGGGGTGGTACCAGAGGGGTCAATGGGGCGGCATATATGGCAGTCCCATGGAGTGTCTGGGCATTGTTTTTAACCAAAGGGTGCATGTTCCATGCTCACCACATCACCACTGTGAATACTGGATCTGGTGGTGCGACAGGTTGACCAACACCAGTCCTTGAGGTCTTGAAATTCTCCAAGTAAAATAACTTATATCCTAAGGTCGAGTAGTATTCTGTAGGCATCACCTCATTTGCAGTTTCCACCCAGCATCCCAACACCCAGTCCCCCCAATGAATCATCATTAATCCCCTCGTCCCTCACATGCCCGGACGAGGGGGGCACCGGCAGCTCCTCCATGCCGAATTGCAAAGTAGGCAGAAGCCTCTGCAAGTGCAGATTGCCAACCTTCTTCCTCAGCCGCAGGTGGGACCCTCGCAACTTGCAACTGGACCAGTCGCGGGAGCTCTGAGGAAGAGAAGCTCGCGGCGGAAAGTGGGGGAAAGCTCGCAAACTGAACCTCCGCTCTCACTCCAACTCCGCGGATGGGTTCCATCCGAAAACCTCCAATCCCCCGAAGGATCAAACATGATCGAACCACCCAGCCAGCTGAGCCTGAAAGAACAGAAATCACCTTCAGCTACCCAGCGAAATTAAGCCAAGGGAAAGCACACACATATGCCTCATATGCCAGACATGACCAGTCTGGGACTGCCATGTTGGCCATCCCATGGCTGGGTGATTGGTTTCCGGGGCATTCGTCGTCTATGCATTTTACATTCCATACGACATGGAATGTCTGGGTGTGTGATCAAATTATATAATAATCTAATATAATCTAATATTTGATAGTATAGTATACACAGACTAATGATAGTATATAGGTCTAATTAGGCTCCGTAGGCGTGGTAGGGCCAGGTGCAGGACCTCAGGAGTAGTGAGAATAAGAGAGTTGACCAAGACCACTCGATCTGTGAGTCTCGATGATTCTTGGCTCATCACCCCAACACCACTGAGTGCCACTGACCTATATAGTATGTTTTTGTATATAACTCAACATGGCTTTCGCTGAGTGAGTTGGAGGAATCCTCGAAACCCGCCTGTGCGTCTACGTTTGGATCAGTGCCTCCAGCACCGCTCGCGCTCGCGCCGTGGGCGAAGCGTTGCGGACACCACGCGTTAACGCGACGCTACGCGACGGGCGCTGCAGGGCCTAACGAAGCGAAAACGCCGAGCAACGCGTCAGTCACGTTCGACGGGGTGCGATCCATGGAGGTTAGGGGTGCCCCTGTCACATCCACTCTAGGGACTAAACACCACCCCGTCTTGTGACTGCTGGTGGTGACTCCTAGACCCTCCAAGAGGTGTTCCCTGGTGACAACAGATGCCCCAAAAAATCATCTGTTAGGGTCAGCCATGGTCAGCCTGTTGGAGCGTCCTGGCACAGCCCCATGGCTTCGCGTGTTGCAGCCCAAAAGGCCCTGGGTTCACTGTCCATCCGATGGGCTTGTCGATGGCTATGAAGTCGGTGTCCTTGTAGATCACTCCTGTGTCGGGATCAGTCAGTTCTTCTTCAAAGCGCCACTTGGAGGGTCTGTGTGCCTTCTGTTTGCTCCCCAAATGTCCTGTCTACATGCCTCCCTGTGAAATTTGTCCATCCAACAATTCATATATAGATTCATACAGATGTTCCAAAATTGGGGCCAAGAACTCCGATTCGTTCTCACCCAACGGCAAATCAATAGAAGTTCCTGCGGACCCTTTTATCCAAGACACGATGCAGTAGCAAGTGGTCCAGCTGGCCCGACGCTAAAGGTTCCCGACGCTTGGGCACGGGGCTCATGGTCTTTGGGAAGTAGATGAAATCCTGGCGCCAACGTTCCAACCAGCCAACGGTCCATATGGATCCATAATGGTCGGTCTATGGAACAGCTAGTGCCGGACAGTTACTGGGTGTTGACATTGGGCCCCCAGCTGCGCAGGCTGGCATCGTCAGTGCTGTTTCGTTTAAACAATCCAGCAAGTTTGGCCCTTCAGAGAGGCTCTCCACCTGGTCATCTGAAAGCAGGTCCAGGGACGGATGCAACCACCAAAGATAATGTTTCATTGAGGGCTTGGGTGAGTCATGGTGCTTCTGGCTACTCACATTTCTTCAGTGCATTGCTGCATCTAGCGGCCCTCCAAGTGTGATTACACTTCTTCCCACAACACCCTTCCCAACACCGCGTGTGGTCCACCTCTTTCTGGCGTGAACTCTGCAAAACTGCTCTGTCTGCTGCGACTTCAGGTGACCTTTATGGTAGAAAAAAAGACACCTTCCCTTCGCTGATCCAGGAAGCCGGGGACAAAATATGACATTCTGCAGGTAAGGGACCGGTTTTTCGGGGATTTCCCCCCCAGTTCGGACGATTCGATCCTCTGATCCAATCCAACGGATCACCCGGGATCCCGTTCGGCCGAGACCGGGGTTGGGTCGGTCTCCTGGGGCTTCACCGAGGTCTTTCCCAGGCATTGGGGCCGAAAGCGCGGGATCTTCACGCAGCGCTGGTGTTGATCCACCGAGCTTTCGGGCGCCATCACCTCTTCAGCTTCGGGGGGACGGCGCGGACGACCCAAGCCGCACGGGGGACGGCGAGGAGGATGGATTGGTGCCAGACACGACCTGTCTGGGACTGCCTACGCTGCGCCGCCCCAGAAAGACCCCCCACTCAACCACCCCTGGCCGTTTCTCGGCAGTCCTATGGCAGTCCCATGTGTCGTGTCTGGGGGTGTAAAAGTTAACCGTTCAGGAGTGCCGGTGGTACGGCCATCGTGTCTATGAACCACCCCGATGCGGGGTCCATCCCACAACCCCCCCCCCTTGGGGGTCTTCCGGTATGGAAGGAAAGTGTCTCACTCTGACTGCAGTCTGTAGTGATGTGCTGGATGCTTGGGAAAAAAAAACATGAAAGAAACGGCCCAAACCCCTGAGCCGAGGCCCAGGCGTATTACTCTGACGAATTCGCCTAGCAACACGCCACTACTTCAGGGCTGTGGATGTCCTCTCCAAAACGTCTTGGGACCAAGGAGTGCTAGCGGCCAAGCATCCTTTTTCTCTGCAGCCTGTGCCTTCCAGCATCTGAAAAGCCCTGCAGCCTGCACTTGCAAGGCAAAGATCTCTGGAAGAAAACGGGTTGAGGTCACATGAATGTCATGGCACGAAGCACAAACATTATGACTTAATTTAAGTCATATCTTACGCGATATGGCAGCTTGAAAAGGTGTGCATTTGAGACCCGGTGTCGGCCGACAAACTGCTATCTATAAAGTCGCCATCTCTAATGCTGGTCAACGACTGTGGGAAAGTCAAGTCTGCCAACGATGTGCAACCCTCAAAGGCATTATTCCCAATGTGCGTCACTGAGTTCGGGATGGTCAAGTGTGCCAAAGATCTGCAACCCCGAAAGGCGTTGTCCCCAATGTGCGTGACTGAGTTCGGGATGGTCAAGTGCGCCAAAGATCTGCAGCCCTGAAAAGCACCATTTCCGATATGTCTCACTGAGCTTGGGACAGTCAGGCTTGCAAAAGCGCAACAACAAAAGGCATAGTCCCCAATGTGGGTCAAAGAGTTGGGTACAATCAAGTCCACCAAGGAGCTGCAACCCATAAAGGCATCAATCCCAATGTGAGTCACAGAGTTCGGGATGGTCAAGCTTTCCAACGAGCGGCAAGCCAGAATGGCACGGTCCCCAATATGCGTCACTGAGTTAGGGATGGTCAAGTTTTGCAAATGGCTGCAGTCCTCAAACGCACCATTCCCAATGTGGGTCACTGACTTCGGGATGGTCAATGTTTTCAACGCGCAACGAAAAAAGGCATGGTCTCCAATGTGAGACATTGAATTCGGGATGGTGACATCTGCCAAAAACTTGCATTCCGCAAACGCACCATTTCCCATGTGTACCACTGAGTTTGGGATGGTCAGGCTTGCCAAAGTGCAACCACGGAAGGCATTGTCCCCAATGTGTGTCACAGAGTCTGGGACGATGGTCAAGCATACCAAAGAGATACAGCTCCTGAATGCCTCATTCCCAATGTGTGTCACTGAGTTTGGGATAGTCAGGCTTGCCAAAGATCTGCAACTGCGAAACGCTTTGTCCCCAATGTGGGTCACAGAGTTTGGGATGGTCAAGTCTGCTAAACGACTGCAAGCATCAAAGGCATTTCCCCCAATGTGGGTCACCGAGTTCGGGATGACAACTTTGGTCAACATGTTGCAGTCTACGAAGGCATGCTCCCCAATTTGAGTTTCGTGGTCTGGGATTTCAACCACAAAGGGGTGGTCCAAATCAAGATCACTCCCAAAGCTGGCAAATTCACCTTTGTTGGAGCATCTCGCGATGTTCGGCTTGAAAACAACAGTCACAACAGCATCTGCAACCTGCCCCGCATCCACCACCTCATCATTGTCAAGCAAACGGTCTCCAACAACAATCTCCACCACAGTAGTTTGGTGAGTGACCTCGTCCCAAAGCTGCCCTTCTTTGATCTGCTGCTTTAGCTCTTTGCCAGTCATCTCTGCCGTAACTTCCAGATGCATCAATTCACCATTGACCTGTCGTGCTGGCAGTCTGACAGCCATGGCTGCTTTGCGGAATGAGTGCAGCTAATCTTGAATGATTTCAGTCCAAACCTGCTTGGCTACTACTGTTGCAATGTTTATAGGTATTATACAGTCTAGGCGTCTTATAAGGTGGCCAGTTACAGTAATGGCTGGGGTAGCCCATGGACATACCATCCATGCAGAAGAACACGCTGATGGTAGCTGATCCAACCTTATGTCGATTGACGCATGGGCACAACCATGGCGTTTACTTTTCTGGCCCTGTGCTCAACAGCCAACTAGGGCAGTACAGGTACTGTGCTACTTACTTCAGGGTCACTGTGCGCAAATGCAAGGGTCACTATTCTTTCTGGCATTTCCTCGGGTCTACTGCAAATGAAGGAATCGACAAATAGTCCTCGGATGGCACAGCCACAACCCCAAAACAAGTTTGGACCCACACAATCTCAACCAGCATCCTGGTCTGTTGTTGGGTTCTGGTATAGGTGTCCTACGACAATTCTCGATTGTTTCTCAGGTAGGTTGCGACTCAACGGAAAACGCTATACTGCGAAATCGTTTGAAGGTGAAGACACATGTCTCTCGAGGAAAGTGCCCATTTGGCACAGTCGCAATTGCAGCCAGCAGGTTGCAGCCAAAGTCAAGAACAAAGCCTCACCGCGTTCCTTTTTAAAAAGTCCCCTCCGAGCGGCCCAAACTTGCTTGGAGCTGATGAGTTTCTGCCTGGCATCCCAGCTGCTACCTGAGGTCGGCACAGCCCTCGTTCTCGTCGTCTTCCCCCGGTCCCGGTCCCGGTCCGGCTCCGGGTTGGGAACAGGTGAAGCTGAAGCCTATGAGTCCAAAAACCCCGTAAAACCAGGTCATTTGCCTCCTTGAGTAGTGTTTTTGTATGACCAACTCAAGCAAAATGAGGTCATTGACTGAGAGGGGAAACTGAAACCATGTGAGGCGGGAAGTCTACCATGTGAGGTGGGAAGTCTACATGCTGGCGTCTCTCCCTCCTCATGCTGCACCACAACTGGCGGAAAACGACGCGAAAACGACGTTGCAGAACCCGTTCGATTCCTGGCATGACTTCTTCGAAGATCTTCGGAGTTGGGGCATGGTCAGGGTCCTTCACAAACTGCACCAACTGTGCCTTTTCCCCGGCCGCGTGAGTGACGCATCATGCATTGGCCCTTTTTATATCCAATTTTACTCCATGTATGGACCTTTGCCATGATATACCTACACTTGGGGGCCGGGGGTGGTTTGCTCTTGAAGCCATTTTCTCAAACAACTCCAGAGTGAAGTCGAAGGATTGCACAAACGTTTTGGAAAGGCGTCGGGTGGTTTCCACCGGCATGGTCGATCGATTCGGGTTTTGCAGTGGTTTCAGAATGTTTCCGGGTAAATGGCACTGGCACAGCAACATGTCTTTTAGATGGGGGTCCCTATAAACTACAAACCACCAAACTTGATCAAACTTGGAGATTTTGCCATCCACTCTCAATCCACCACATCTTACGGCTTGTAGTCTCAGCCATTGCCTCTTCAACGTCGCCTGGACCAAACAGCTAAAATCGCCTGGGCCATGGCTCGACTGCCCGGACCAAGCCACACACGTGCTTGTAGAGCCAACCGTCCAAGCGCATGGGCGTGGCATCCTGGAGGTTCGGACCGGTAGAAGCAGGGCCGCAGGACCGGTGGGTGGTAAGAAACATTCACACATCACTCCCCTGTTGACGTGACCATTGAAAGACCTTCATGTCTCAGACCTGACCCTGGGTCACCCATTGAGGACCCTAGTAGCTGAGGCCGGGCTATCAAAAAGAAAATTATATAATTGGTATCAAAAACAAAAAATCATTGCACAAAAAGCTTCGCCTGCCACTGCGAACCGCCTTGGCAACGCTGCGCGATGTGAATCTGGATGTGCAGATTTCGTGGCAGGAGCGGCACTTTGTCCACTGGAAGTGCAGATTTCGTGGCAAGCACAGCACTTTGAGCACCTCCAGTAGCAGGTTTCGTGGCAGGAGCGGCACTTTGTGCACTGGAACTGCAGATTTCGTGGCAGGCGCAGCACTTTGAGCACCTTCAGTTGCAGGGCCCGTGGCAGGCGCAACATTTTGCGCACTGGAACTGCAGCGCTTCGTGAACCTCGAACAGATTGCGTGGCAGGCACGGCGCTGGGTGAACCTCGGTCCGCAGCGATTGCGAACCTCGAAGTGCCGATTGCGTGGCGTGGCAAATTTTCTGCGGATCTCAACACCTGTGAAAAGAGCTCTTGACATCTCATATATAACATATATATAGTCATATATATATATACATATACTAGATTTTTTCTGTTGATTCCCAACCACTCTCCATTCGACTCTGCTCCTTGGGCACTCGATGGCAGGCGAAAGGGCCCAAGTCGAAGGGACGGTCGCCTTCTTCGGGGCGAGCTTCGGGGCGAGCGCTGCTGGGAATCTTGTAAAGTTGCCATTCCCAATCTGCCAGGACCCTCCAAGGGGTGTCTATTTAGTCCCTTAGCTGTTAAGGAGTGTCCATTAACCACCCCTTGCAGGGTCCTGGTAGGCACGTCTACTACTTGTTCTACTAATGGTGACGTGGACTATCAGGCAGAATGGATTCAGACCACATGTTCCATCATGTTGGAAAGCAAACGTTGTTCTACTGTAATGGTGATGCGGACTAGCACCAGGTACACTGATGTTTTAAGTGACACTGTTCACGGAGAAGTCCTGCTTAGAGCTACCCAAACACCGGCTTGAACTGCGGCTCAAGCACAGTGGCACTACAGCGGCCATTTTCGTTGGCTCATCAACACTTCATGGAGTCTGTCTGTGCACCGTGGGTACTCTTCCGATCTCTGTAGGACTCCAAATCCACCAATAAGTTCTGAAAAAGCACATCCACCACGTCCCCTGAACAAGCGGCTTGTTGGACTTCAGTCTCACGTCTGATCCCTGCCTGGTCGGCAGGCCGGATTCTCCAAGGCCAGCGCCCGGCTTGAGAAGGCCAGGCGGCTTTGGCCCAGCCGCCATGTCCGGCAAGCCAACATGGCGCCATGAAGAAGCGAATGAAGCAACTCAAAGGACACTCTCCTCACATGGACCCTCAAAGACTGAGTGGCTCAGTGGCTGTCTTGACAGACCTTGGGTTCTGGCGAGGCGTCCACCGCTTCGGCTTCTTTCGCTCTTCACATCTCTTCACGTCGACGTCTTTTGTTTGATGAAATGATCAGCACTTCGAGCACAAGGCCTGCTGCTTGTGAGCGGTGCCATGCATATATACTTCATGGGCTTAGATAATTATAATGGGACGAAGAGTTGATGCGTGAATTGATGTGAGTGATAGGGGAAAACCCTTCTCACTTCTCATAACCCGCTTCCAGAACCTTGTAAATATACAAATAGTTAGCCTTGCCCCGTGTCAACGGTTTAGCACAGGGGCCTTCGGCTTTGAGTCATGAAAAGGGGCCTGAGTCCGGTCGCCGTCCCCCGGCTGGCCGCAGAAACGGACCCGATTCGGGCATCGAGTGGCGAGGTCGATTTCTCGATCATGCAGTTCATACATCCCAACAGAGGTACCGAGGTAGTTAAGTGACCTTATAGGACCTACGAGTATGTATGAACTGCCTGGATACAGTGACCTGTAGGATAGTCGATCATTTCTCGATCAACAGAGGTTAAGTTACCTGAACTAGGACCCTACAGGGGTACCTAATACTAATGGTTCTAGTTCGGGTTCTTCAACCTCTGGTCTACCCTGCAGTCCCTGCTTCCAGTACTGGAGAGTGATGTGGGCTCACCTCCCCTGGTGAACACCAACAAAAACGTGGATCTCGAGAACATCTGCTGATAGTTTGCCCACCCACCCAAGGAAGACCTAGAAACCCCATAGACAAGCTACCCCCCAGTACCTCCAACAGAACTCCATTTGCGACTTCACTTGCGACCTTGTGTCTTGTCAAGAGCCTTCCTCTCGCAGACCTGCTGGAGAGGGTTGGTGCTGAAACCTGTGGCTGGGGCAACCCTTCAACCTTTTTGTCGCTGATGTTCCCCATACTGACCAGGGAACATTTCCTCGACACAGTCTGACACTGAATTATCTGCAACCACATTGGGCTGCGAGGCAGCGTACGGAAGCAAGTCTGGTCAATCTGTATGACCTTGACCATTCAAGGATTCAAGAATACATAAGAATCCTCTAGTCTTGGACCTGCCCATTGGAGCTGTTGTTCGGAGCGTTTGCATGTACCATTGCACTTTCGTCGTAGCATTGCTTGACCAAACACGCCGGCGCCATGAAGCAAAGGCTTCTGCGGGCATGTGGCCCACAAACTCACGTCAAACACACCTGGACCCTCCAGTTCGCACCCTAGAAAATGGGACATGAGCCATTTGAAACAAATGTTTGATGATAATTATTGGTCAGGATCATCCAATGGGTGTCCAGTCTAGACTCTAGACTACCCTACCCTACGTATCCCTACGTCAACAGGTCTACTCCAGGGCACCCGGGTCCAGTGTCAGTGCTAGGTACCCCTTTTCGAAGGTGCGAACGGATTCTCCGGGTACTTTTTGTTCAGCGACATTAAGGCCCAGTGTCCTGAGACATGTGTTGCGACGACGACGTGACATGTGCTGCGTCTCGGTCGAGAAAAGTGTCGACCCCTTGGGGCAGCGAGTCCAACAGCCAGAATCCGGGCCCAAAGCAATGGAAGGCCTGAATAGAAGGTCACCCCTGCGTTTTGGAGGGCCCTTTCGGATTCTTAGGATGGTTACAAACTCTTCGTGTTAGGAAAATGCCGGTCAGCCATGAGGGCTGACAGAATATCCCACACATTCCTGTGCGAAAAGGTGTTTGCAAACAGGAACCTGGAGTGCGGGGTCCTTTTTCACTGCGTCAGCGGTCCGGATTCAAATACTGAGAATATCTATATACCAACTAGCACCGGATCAGGTTGTAACGCAACTATAGGGCACACTCATATACCCCAGTCACCAGCAGCAGAAAACACATGTTGGCCGCTCTAAAGAAAACCCTTGATTTGATTTGAACAAATCATGGTGAAGCAATCCCCAGTCTGTTCACCACTCACTATACAGTAGACGCTGATGCTTTCGCAACGGGTAAACCGGTGTAAACCGTTAGTAACCCGGTGCGGTCAAATACCAGACGCGCGCGATGTCGCAATAAAAAGAAAAAATATGTTCCACTTTCATGACTTGTAGGAAACCAAGTGAAGTCTGCCAAGATTAATGGATCGTTGAGGGCCAGGGTCACAACTTTTGAATCTTGCAACGGGCTTTTGGTCCATCCTCTTTTCTACATTAATTAACACACACACACACATATATATATATATATACAAGACAAACACAAAAGAGAGAGAGAGAGAGAGTGACGGAGCGAGGGAGGGAGGGGAGGGAGGGAGGGAGGGAGGGGAGAGGGCCGCTCATGCCTTACTGATCGCCAAGCCTAAATCGTCTGACTACAATTGTGTCAGCTTCCCAAGTTAATATACACAAAGGTTATATAACCCTCTTTCATACTTTCAGGGAATTTCAGGAAGATCAAATCAATCCCCAAACATTCTGGTCATGAATCACGCCGCCGCGCCGCCTACGGGCCCATATATATAATTTACATAATATGCATATGCCTGCCTATATATATATATATACATAGCACTGGAGCCTCTCCAGCTTTGTGGCCGAATTCTGGGCAATTTGGATTGCCTTCTCCCAGTCAAGGGGACCAATACAAGTCTACAGCGATTGCAAGGCTGTTGTTCGGTGCTTTACTTCGCTTGTTCACACAGGATGCATCCACCCTCACTGGCGCTGCCAGGAGTGGTGGCGTACATTGCACAAAGTTTTTCTTGCTCGCAAAACTGTCCACTCGCAGCCGTTGGCTGTCACATGGATTCCTGCACATAAATTTGAGGGGAAAGAGATTTGGCAAATTCATCCTCAAGAGGCTCGTGAAGCAGGCACAACTCTCGAACACATCCTTCGGAATCGTCAAGCTGATCAAGCTGCGAGGCAGTTGGCCATCCGAATTGCACCTATATATCCGGCTGCATACCAGGCGTTTCAGAATGCCGCGCTCCGCCACCAAACTTGGTTGGTGCGACTTCACTGTTTGCTGTCCACCAGGGACGATATTGCGGACGCACATCCTCTGCCTCAAGAAGTTTTTACATTGGATGTGGCGAGAACGACATTTCCTAAATGGCCCTGGAAAGCATCGCGAAGCGATTTCTCCTGGCGGCCCAAAGTTCCCGAGAACATTGACCCACCTGCCAAGTGGAATTACACCCCTGGCGACTGGAGAGAGATCTGTCGATTTGCACAGCGGTTGAGGTGGCAAGCAAGAGAAGACACCGCCGTAGCCTTTTGCGAACTTGCGGTACTTTTTCATCACCAAGGATTTAAGATCCATGGTGATTACGAAGTTGTGACAATGCACACCGTAGCCTGTATGATCCGCCAGGCTTTTCGCATGTTGCTCAAAGATGACAGGGTCCAAATCTGCCCTGGCCACTTTTCGGCCACCTTCGTTAAATCGGAAGGCAGGACCCTCTGTCAGAGCGCAGTTGTACAGGCATCTCCCTTTTTGATGAAGCTGCTCTTTTTACGTTGGCACAGGTTTTACGTTCGGGACCTGGACGCACAATCCAGTCTTGGCGTGTTCCCTTTTTGAAGAGTTAGGCTCCGTTGGCCCTTGTCACTGCATGAGGGGTTCTGTGTATGGCACGACCTGAGAGTCGCCCATACCGTCGTCGCAGACCGACCGACGCGTGAGGTATATATATGTATATAGTATATATTATCGGTATATACATACTTCCCGCGTTCATGCGCGTTCCGTGTTTCCGTTTCCGTTTCCGGTGTCCGCCCCGTTCGTTCGTCTGCTCCGACCCGGTCCTCACGCGGTGGGCTTCTCGCGCTGAAGGATCACGGCGGGCCAACTCAATTGCATGCTACCGAAGGCAGGTCCACCAGCTGGTTCCCAGCCACGTTGCATGAGCTCGCCGAGGATCACCTCCATGGGGTAACCTGCAGACTTGCCAAAAAACTTTAAAAAAAAGACACCCAAATCGCCTTGGAATAATCAATCATGATAATCACCCATACACTCCATGGGGCTGCCATATATGCCGCCCCATTGACCCCCAAAACCCCCCCACCTGATCGGCATATATGGCAGTCCCATGGAGTGTATGGGTCATGGCAGGTCAAAAACATCGGAGCTCCAAACCTTGGTGTGCCTGGTGGTCATGATCGGTGGTCAACCATGGTGCCCCCTGTTTTGACCCACTGCCCTATGCTCAAAGCCGGTAGTTTGTGGCATTTTAAGTCACCAAGATTTGGTGATGGCATGTCATGATGTCAGATGCCTTGCTGGAACTTGGTTCAAAGGCATTCAACAGCAACAAAGTCCTCCTCGACTCAAAGGGGGCACGAGGTTTGCCTCTTTGCATCTGTGCCTCACCTGCGCATGCCCGTACCACAACGGCGTGGCTATATTTAAATCTTCAGCTGCATCGTCTGCGCTTTGCGACTCGGCACGTCTCAAAGGCACCATCGCCAATGCGGTTTAGCGAGTCCGGGATGGTCAAGTAAGACCTGCAACCCACAAAGGCATGATCTCCAATGTCGGTCACTGAGTCTGGGATGGTCAAGTTCACCAAAGAGCTGCACTTCCAAAAGGCATTCT